AATGCAAAAAGATGATTCCTCTTAGCCTCAAGAAATTTATTAAGAATCTATTTACAAATATTGAATAAATGGGGTAGAAAGATAGTCCACCTTTTAAGATTGAAGATAGATGTTCCTTAGTGAAGCTCACAGATTTTACATCTGTAGATTCCATTCTAATGAAGGATTAAAATGATTTTGAAATCCAGAGAGATTTTTTCTTTTTTCACAGAGTTAAACAGGAGAGGTTTATCTATTCAAGATGTCATGAATTGTATGAGATATTCTTCACTATAGCTTTAGCATAATTTGTGTTTTATTTACTGAGAAAAATTATGTTTATTTTGCCACCAAGGTGTTCTATCATTGCTACTGAAACTGGAAAAATTTCAAAATATTAAATTGTTGAGGTGTTGCTTGCCATATATTTGGCATGGAAAGACCATTTATTTTTCCAATGTAAATTGGAGCTACCTATTATTGAAGTAGGATAATTTTGCAGTATTGGATTCTGAATCTGTTCTTTGGTTAGTCAATAGGTATGGTCTATAGCTGTGATGGTGAACCTGTGGCACACGTGCCAAAGGTGGCACGCAGAGCCCTATTTGTGGGCATGCATGCTGTTGGCAGCTGCTCTTCGGGGTTCTGGCGCGCACATGTGTGCTGGAGCGCCGGAAAATAGGTCAAAAAATGGCCAAAAAACCAGGACAGTTTTCGGGCCATTTTCCAGCATTCCAGTGATGAAACGCCCACAATTTCTGGAGGCAAACTGTTCCACTGTTAATTGTCCTCACTGTCATGAAGTTTCTCTTTAATTCCAGGTCGCTTCTCTCTTTGATTAGTTTCCAACCATTGTTTCTTGCCCTCTGGTGCTTGGGAGATTAATTTGACCCTCTCTTCTTTGTGGCAGCCTCTCAAATATTGGAATACTGCTATCATGTTAACCCCTAATTCCTTTTTTCTTTAGATTAGCCAAACTCATATCCTGCAGCCATTCTTCATACGTTTTAGTCTCCAGGCCTTTGATCATCTTAGTTGCTCTTCTCTGAATTTTTTTCCAAAGTCTCAACATCTTTTTTATAGTATGGTGACCAAAATTGGTTGCAGTATTCCAGGTGTGGTCTTACTAGGGTTGTATAAAGCGGTACGAATACTTCACGTGATATTGACTCTATGCCTCTGTTTAAACAACCCAATTGTATTAGCCTTTTTGGCTGCTGTTGCACACTGCTAGCTCATATTCAAGTGATCATCCACTAGGACTCCAAGGTCTCTCTCACAGTTACTGTTTTGGAGCCAGGTCTCGCCTAATCTGTGCTTATACCTTTGATTTTTCCTGCCTAAGTGTATAGCTTTGTTTTTCTCCACACTGAAATTCATTTTGTTGGATAGGGCCCATTGTTTAAGTCTGTCAAGATCTTTTTGGATCCTGAGCTTGTCTTTTGGTTAATTAAAAATTAGTTTTGTTAATTTCTAGTTATGATACCCACTTGACAGTATTCAAGTAGAAAGAAGTAACAAATACCATCTCTGCTTACAGAATGGAAGTGATCTGTACCTGGAGTTGATCTGGTAATAACTTGTAAATAAGTTCAAATGAATCATGTTGAAATTAATTTTGGAGTTGATACTGCATTTTATTGATAAAGTTCTATAAGCATAGATTTCAATAACTGCAGCAGGGCCTCCAGAGACAGTATTTTACTATGAACAATCTTAATTATACAGACTACACTTTTATAACATCCTGGAGCAAGATAGTAACTTGGACAGTATGTGAGATATTTTATTGAACTACATTCTGAGATAGCAACAAAAATATTATTCAAGATCAAATGCTTTAAGATTGAAGTTACTAGGTCGCTAGTAAATTCAAAAAAAACTATCTGAAACATTTTTAAATGGCACTTCAAAATTATAAGGTTATAATTCTACACAATGCCATTCAATTCCTTTTATTCTGAAGATCTATAGTTAACTCACTTTTTTAGAAGATCTAAAGTAACAGGCTATAAAGCAATAGTTTAGCTAGAATGAAGCAGGTTCAATAGCTTGCCTCAAATAGCATGTTAATATGTTGGAATGAACATAATCCTTTTATCCTATTATTTTGCAACATGCATAACATTTTGTTTTTAAAGCTAATTAATTAAAACATTAAAGCTTATTAAAGCTACTATATTGTTCATAACTTTATAAATATTAGTATTGTTAAGTGAAGATAAAGAATACATTTTCCTTCTTCACGATTGTTCTTGCTGCTATTGTCAACTTTACTTAATTAAAAGGCATATATAAATCTTCCATTTTAAAGTCCCTGATAACTATTTTAAAACAAGTTTAATTTTTTTAAAAAATGAACTAACAATCCAGGCAAACTGTTTTTAATAGAATTTCTAATAGAAGTCCACAGCCATTTTTTGGGGTGTGCCGCAGGTCTTGGTACTCTCTCCTCTCCTTTTTAACATCTACATGAAATTGCTGGGTGAGATCATTCATCATCATAGATTGAAGGATCATCAATATGTGGATAATACTCAGTTCTATATTTCCACCCCTGGTGATCTAAATCATGGTTTTTACTGCCCTCTTATGGTGCCTGGAAGCTGCTGGAGTCTGGATGTGGGGCAACATTCTTTGACTGAACCCTGGCAAGCTTCTCTAATTCTGGATGGGTTTCACAACCCCAAACAGACCCAGTGTGCAACTTAGGTTCTCCTGGATTTATGATATCTGATTGATAAGCAGGTGGCAGTTGTGACTGAGAACAACTTTGTGCAACTTCGTGTTGTGTGCCAGTGGTACCCTTTCCTGAATTGGGATACTCTGTGCTCTGTCTCTCAACTCTTGATCATGTCATGGTTGGACTATTGCAACACTTTCTACATGGGGCTACCTTTGAAGAGTACCCAGAAGTTGCAGCTGGTACAGTCATATGGGCAGTTCTTGAGGCCCTAGGACAGGGTTGTCAAACTCACGGCCCACAGACTGGATGCTGGCCCTGTCCTTGCCTGGTTTAGCAAAGGGGGGAAAAAAGTCCCGATAGTCATGTGACACCGCGAGTTTGACACCCCTGTCCTAGGGTGACCCATGTTAGACCACTGTTCCATGACCTGCAGAGGCTGCCAGTTTGCTTCTGGGTCCAATTCAAGGTTATCTTTAAAGCCTTTCATGGCATGGATATAGCAGGCAGGTTATCTAATGAATTGTCTCACCCTGATGGGATTAGCCTGCTCCACCCATGGTGGCAGAAGTGGCATCCTGTGGACCCTGTCAGTCAAGGAATTTTGGCTGGTGGGGGCCAGAAGAAGAGCCTTTTCTGCCATAGCAACACCCTCTGGAACATCTGCCCCCCCCCGGTAAGATCCACATATTTTGACCATCTGTACTATAACAATGAACAATAGTACAGCTAACATAATTTTTGTATGTTCTGTTCTTGTAAAATAAAAAAAAACCAATAACAGATTGTGAATTATTAAATAATAATGGGAGTTTATAGTGCAGATTCATTGCCTAGATTTGTAATTTATTAATTTGTAATAATTAATAGAAATAGAAATGCACACACCAATATACATAAAAAGGGCAAACCACCTCTGTGTTATTGACCAGAAAGCTACCTAGAAATATTTATATAGCTACCAAGAGCTAGGATTGACTGGAAGGAGACTTTTTTATGAGTTTGACTTCAAAGCATATGATGGGATAGTAAATTTTTTAAAGGCTTGGGGTAGAATCCAAGTGGAAAAATCTGTAACAGACAGTGAGTAATTGATTATTAATATCAAAACTGGAAAGAAACTCATCTGAAGCATTTCTGTAATGTAATTTTTCTCATAAGGATATTTTTTCAATGTATTCATACTGGTTTTTGATGTTTGTCACTTATGTATAATGAAGACTTTTCAGTAAAATTTCTCAATATTGAACAAGTTTCAACCTGTTTACATGATAAAGCCATTCTTCTTCAAACACTGTTGTCTGTTTTAGCAATAGATAAGAGGATCAATCCAGAAGCAATTAATGATTCTTCTGAGAAATATAGAATTGCTTTTCCCTGGCTCTTTTCCATTGAGTTGGCAGGAATGGACACATCTCTAGTGCAGCTGTCTACAACCTGACAAATGTGTCATTTGGTCTTCGTCTTCAGTGATTTTATAGAATTCTATATCTCCTCATCTGATATACTTTGTAGGATACATTTTAGGCTGTAATCTTAAATCATTAGTTTTACATGACTGAGTAGGAATGCAGTGTTTCCATTAGATTTTGTATAGGAGCTATACTAACTTTCCCATGAGAATCTTTGTAGAAAAAAATGGTGAAGGTGAGTGGAAGATATGAAGCATGTTATTTACACTGTTGTTTCGTCTGTATTATATAAACCCAGTTCATATCAAAGTTGCAGTTAATGGATATAATGTTTTTAATTTTTTTGATAGAAGAGAAAAACAACTGTTCCCAATTAGCTCTTGTTAGAGAAATGTTGGTCCTTGACATTTTCCCATATAAAACATGCCAGAATGACATGCATTTCTAGTCATCCCCTATGAATAAGAGCACATACATGTGTATATGCTGCACCAGAAATCTTGTTTTTAAAAGTAGAAGGTGATGGAAAATTAATGGAGTGCTTGAGAAAACCCTTTTCTCTCACTTTGATAAGAATGCCTATGTTTTGGAGGCCTGTTAACTTTCGGTTTGTTGTTTAGATTCTTCAAAAGTGGGAAATTTAAAATGACAGTTATAAATGAATATAATTCTCCAGAGGGTTCACACATTTTAAGACTATATAGGATTATTTCCCTAGACAAGAATAAATAGTACAGTATTTCACAATGTGAAAACTTACTGTTTTCTTACTGAAAACAAGCTTTGCCTGTTCAATGTGCTCATTCAGAGTATAGCAAATGCCTGAGAATCATATTTGTGATTAAAACTGTCAGAAGTTTATTTAACTCTCAAATGATTCCTCAAATCATTCCTGATTAATTTCTTGTCCCTTTTTTATTTTTCAGGTTGGCCGTCATTCTATGATGTAATCAACTCTGACACAATTACATGTACTGATGACTTCTCATTTGGGATGCACAGGGTTGAAATAAGCTGCACTCAGGTCAGTTTAAAAACAAAGCCATTCTAATGTTAAAAGATTTTTTTTTTAGAGCTCTAGTTCATTTACATAGAAAGGCTTAAGTTACCCCCAAATTAACTGTTGCCTGCTTGGTCATAAGAATGACAGCTGGTAGGTATAAAAAGTTAAAGTCTAATGAGAATCTATATTGTTATCTAGGTTAAACTTTATTTAACAGTGTGTACATAAGTGACCTAAATCAGAAGGCTTAGAAATTGTCCTTCAGGCAAACATCCTTTTGAGGTTCCCCTCTGACCTCTGCTTTCTTAAATCTAAATGCAAAATGTGGATAGTGGATGTTACTTTCATCATTATGAATACTTGAGGAGCAGTACTGACAGAAATCCAGGAGTTATTCTCATGTATCTTACTGCTTATCTTCAAGTTCCTTCTGCCAAAATACTTGAGTGATCATGTTAAATACTGTTTTCCATTATATGTCTCATTCTAATTCCTTTTGACTGTTACTATCATCTGTCTTCCATAGCATTAATGGCTCAGTCCAGACTTATCAGGGAAAAAAGGTTATTGAGCAAAATAACAAATCCCAGAAACAGGAAGATATGGTTAATTATAAATGAACACAAAAGAAACTTGAAAGTCATAAGTAGAAATATTTAGAAAGGCAAATGCAATGGTGAATGAAAATTCTAACTCAGTTTTTTTTAACTGCAGTTGAACTAGTTTCAATTGAAATTTAAGTTCGATCTTGGTTTTGTTATACGTTTTCTATATCGGTGTGCTAGAATTACTTAAAAATTGATATTAAGATAATCATTTGAGCAAGCTAAAAAGTGGACTTACATATTATACAGTCATTTTAAGTTTTTCTTTTCAGAGCTTTTGTACTGGCAATCTTCATAAACAAATCATAAATCATAAAATTGTTTTAGTGCTTGTAGAACTGCATTCTGCAGGAAAAAGTCTACATGGGGAGCTCTGATGTAAAAGCATAATTGTATTTATCTTTTTCTTCTACTTAAGACCTTCAGTTAAATTACTTGTGAGTATATAGATAATTAACCACTTTCATATATTCCTGTTTCTGGGATTTGTTTTTCTGCTTTTCATTCCAAAGCAATCAGAAGGTAGCTTGCAATGATATATAATAATAGTACATTATTATAATATGGTATTTAACAGGAGAGTAAATCATAAAGTATGAATTAGTAGATAGAAACATCAAGTAGAATTATTAAAGGATCTTATTAATTAAAAGCATAGATAATAAGATATATTTTGCATAATAGTATTCCGGGGGGAATAGAAGTCCAATATACTGGTTGCTAAAGTGAAAATGTTGTCTCGATAGAAAATAAATTTGCTAGACAATATACTGTAAGTATGTCTCTGGAGTGGCTATTCCTAGCTGGGAACTATAAAGGTTTTAATTATCTGAACAATACATATTAATGTGTCTCAAAACCACCTTCTTTGTGTATTGTACAGTTCTTTATTGTACTGGCAAAGTGATACAATGAACTATTTTGCCACAAAAAGACATACTATTTATAATTTTCTCTGTATAAAAGTTATCTTGAAGTTTTGAGTACTCAGGGATCTTCTTCAGAAATGATGTCTTGAATCCTGACAGAATTCTATTGAATAATCCTGCACTTCTTGTTCCAGCAGTTATTTTAGTTTTTGCAGGACCTCTTCATAGAGTTAGTAAGTCACCTACAGGAAACATTTTTTAATATTGTAATGTTACATTATTACATTCTTGTAGTGTTTACTTACTGTAGTTAAACATCCTCTTCAGAATTAATTTCATTTGAAGAGGACAGAAAAGAATAATATGGCAATCTTAAACCAACTTTGCATCTTGCATTACTCTTTCATTTGTATTGCTAAAGATATGACCCTTCTATTTGATATGTGGATAAGCATATTCACTTTGTACAAATTGCAATCAAACTGTATGTATTTGAAGCACATTTGTTTAGAGTAAGTTTCTCAAAGGACTAAATAAAAGGAATAATGACTGAAGGCCAGCATTTTAAATCTCTAGATCAGTGGTTCTCAACCTGTGGGTCGGGACCCCTTTGGGGGTCGAACAACCCTTTCACAGGGGTCGCCTAAGACCATTGGAAAACACATATTTTCAATGGTCAATGGAATCATTTTATGGTTGGGGGTCACCACAACACGAGGAACTATATTAAAGGGTCGCGGCATTAGGAAGGTTGAGACCCACTGCTCTAGATTAAATTAAATCCAGTTTAACAATTTTAAAAATAAAGCCCATGTGTGTTAACTTTCAAATAACAATACATTTACCTTAAGTTTTCCCACTAGGTTTTCTATATTTAAAAATAAACACAAATTATGTTCTTTTCTTTCAGTGTGGTGCTCATCTTGGCCATATATTTGATGATGGGCCACGTCCAACTGGAAAACGATATTGCATAAATTCAGCTTCATTAGCTTTTGAGCCTGAAGACAAGAATCATGCTGGAGAAGACAATGCTAGTTCTACATGTGCACAACCAGATAAGACAGAGTTGTAATGGGAATCTGTTGTTTTCCTAGATGACATGGAAAGAATAATTCTAAATGGTTTTCTATCTTACACACTATTTTTAAAATATACAAAGATGTTCTGCAGTATGAAGTTTTTTCCCTGATCAAAATGAGACATGCTAATTTCTTTTCTTATATAACCAGGCATAACTATTTCACAACTTCTGTGCTTTGATCCCATAACAAAATGTCTTTTGACACTATGGTGTTGATTACTTGCATATTTCTTATAGTAAGTCTGAATTATATTCCTTCATATTTTTCATTCTTTTCATTCAGTACACAACCATAGTAAGAAAACAGTTTTCTAATGGTACTTAGGTGATTTTGCTTTGATTTATACATATACATGGTTACGAGCATTCCCTTAGCAAACATTGGAAGTTACATGATAAGCGCCCCCTAGTGTTTATGAACAAGTTCTAAAACTATGAATGTTGTAGCACTACAGCAGCTGTTTGCCCTTACAAACAACTGCAGGGGCTCTGCAACATTCCTCCTGCAATTCCCCTCCCCCCTCCATGCCGAATCTTCATAGGCCTGTGCATACTTACCTTGCGAAGATCTAGAAACCTTTTGCTTTCCTGGCCTGTTTTGGCGCTTCAGACCTTCGGTGAGTACACAGAGATTGAAGGCCTAAAGTACTGCAAGATCACATGAGATCAGTATTGTGAGATCTCACGCTATTGATCTCTCATGGTCTCACGATACTTTAGACCTCTATTCTCTGAAAACAGAAGCCTGGATGAGATCTGCAGCAAAAGACTTTGCAAATCGAGGGAACCCCTGAAACATCAAAGCTTTCCCTCCATTTGCAAAGACTTTTGCCATCCTTGCAAAAAGCCTTTGCAACCCAAAATGGAGCTTCTCAGCTCCCTTTTGGTGTGTGCCGGCCTCGTCCAGCACTTTGCAGCCCAAAAGGGAGGTCCTTTGGGCTGTAAAGTGCCAGACAAGGCCTGTGCACACCAAAACGGAGTTTCAGAGGGGCGTGAGAGGCTAGAGAGGAGACAGTTTGCTAGATCTTCGCATAGAAAGTGACCCAGCATAGCAGGTTGGGTGGGAGGGAAAGCAATTGTGGGGATCATGAGGTATTTCAGTGGGTCAGGGAGGCGTTGGGTGGTCTTAAGCAGGTGACCTGTTCCATCACTAGGACCCCCCATGGCCTTTCTCATCCTGAAATACCTCATGTGTATTTAACGAACCGAGCATTTGATTAGCAAATGCGTGGGCGAAAGGAGGGCGTGAGCATGTTCAAGGTATGTGATTCACTCCCACGAATCTTCGGGTTACAAATGAAATGGGCAGGCTCCATTACATTTATAACTCGAGAACTACCTGTAGTCAACTAACTCTAATTATTGTACCATTCCATAAATGAGGCTGTATAATTTAGTATAATCAACCCAACTTTTGTCTTGGATTTCTGCAAAAGTATACAACTACATAAATGGCAACCATACATCCCTGCCTTCAGTTAGATAAATACTATTTTTTTAAAAAATTAAGATGATACTTATATTGGACTGCCTAGATAAGATTACTCCTTTATGTAGCAGGTGGCTTTCCCTTAGAACAGCTTAAGATGCCAGAGTAGTCATAATATACTTTTAAAAGCTGTGGATGAAGACTGGTAATCATAGACCAGTTTCCTCATACTTATAATGAGTGTTTTAAAAGTCCTCAATCCTCAAAATGTATTTTTATCCTCAAAAAGTTAAAAGAGGACTCATAGACTAGTCTGCAAACGTGAGAGAGATTTTTATTATTATTATTTTGTGATCATATATAAATATAAAAACTCAGTATTGCCTTACCAATTAGTGTTGTCCTGGGAAACTTAATACCTCATTAAATGGTACAGATCTTCCTGAAATTTCCCTTACAATGTTTAAGCGGCAGTGTGTAGATAGGAAAGTCCTATTGTAAGCATCAAATTGCTGTGCCTATGTTATCTTTTTATTCCTTCTTGGGAGATAATCACTTAGACTGTATTCTGTTACTCCTTTTCAACTTTTATATGAAGATCTACTATCCTCAGTGTCGTGTCCACTTGCATTAGAATAAAGAGACAATACTTCTTCATAAACAATAAAAACCATAGCAACAAATAGCCATATCCAGTGAAAGATAGTGGCCTATGGTAAAGTGTTAGTGTGAGATGCCTGGTTCTATTAAGAGTGAGCGAGTTTGCCTTAAAGAGGAAATGCCTCTTTATGTGTGGCCCTAACCCTAACCATTGGGTTTGCCATGGAACCTATCCTGGGTCTCCCAAAGTGGAGTGGGAACATGACACTGTCCTCACTGTTGATTAAAAAAACAATTAAAAGGTCAGTACAGTCAATCTCAGTACCTGTACTGGCAAGGAAACAACATTTTGTCCTTCGGCTGTGATGAACATATAATTTGTGAATTAGTCTCAGATTTTAGTATATGTATGACAGAAATCTCTTGCAAGGATATGACTACTTTCTACTTCATGTTACAAGGAAATTGGTGTGATTGCTGTGAAAATTAACTATCATGCTTGAGAATAACAGCATTTTATGAAGTATAACATAATACTATTTAATATAATTTTACCATAATTCATTATCTGTATCAAACAGATCACCTGTATCTGGCATACAAATAGTTAAAATTGCTATCTATTAGCCTCATGCCTCTTAATAGCAAAAAAAATTGAATTATAGATTGATATAGGATTTAGGAATGCAACCATATACATAAGAGTTATTTATAGCATTATTCTAAGGCATGTGATTACTTTCTCATTTGTTGGGTGAATCTTTCTGCCATTTGCCAAGAGATTGTATTTTTATTAGAAGTTAGTTTTCTCCAATCATATTTTCTGAAATGAAATCTCTGATTTGTAACATCAGCGAAAATATGGGGCATTAATTTTTGAGATAACTTGCAGTTAATGTTTCACTTTCAATCTATTTCTGTCTTCTTAAAGAAATGTATCCCTCAGACTCTAATAAGCAATAATGTAAGCTTTTCATAACTTGATTTATATTTACAGTTTATGAAATGCAGTGAATTGAATCAGTATGGCCACATATATGTGTGCTGTCAGAGCATAACTTCATTAATAAACAGAAACCATGGGTATAGATTGTTTTCCATTAATATGTATTAGAAATAATATGAGTGTAATGTGAGTCTTACAGTACTGCAGAGCCCAAAATATCATTTTGTTTATGGCTTTGCTATAATTTGGATATAATTGAGCGCAATATGTGACTGAGAAGTCCGTTAGTGTCTCCTGGATATTTTGTATTGTGTGACTGATATTATTGAATGCACATGTTTCAGTCTATATCAAGGGTGTCAAACTCACATCACTGCAGCGTCACATGACATATCGGGACTTTTCCCCCTTTGGCTAAACCGGGCGTGGACGTGGCCAGCAAGTGATGTATCCAGCCCGCGGGCCGGGAGTTTGATAGCCCTGATCTATATTATATAAGAGTTTATACAAATATTGAAAGAAAAAGAAAATGATTATTTTAGTATATTTGGAACTTGCCATCAGAACTAGTTTTTTGCTTTTAAGACATTAGGTTTTATTCAGTGAATATGCCTTTTAATATGTTTGCTGAACACAGATATATAATATATTTAATTTATAAATAAATATTTCTCTCTATATTCTTTGGTTTTGACTCATTATTTCTCACTCCAGGATGGTCTATATCTTAGGTCCCATGAGGGGAGGAGTGCGCTCTGATATTAAGCAGTTATTATAATGGTTGGGGAACAATATGACTTGTGGACTTCAACTCCCAGAGGGCCATCGTCACTACCCATGCAGGAAGAAAAGCAAATTGATAACATAGAATATAATTTTCTGCACATGCCATGATCCCAGGAATATATTTCATGTTTTTAGTTGTAGTTGAAGGGAGGAGCAATTGACAAAACTACTCTAATTTTATCTTGGAATGGGAAAAATATACAAAATTAAGTTTCTTAGTTCCCACTGAAATCAAAATGAAAAGTTATTCATCAACTGATCAATGTAATTATCATAAATGGGATTTGATACTGCTCCTATAGCCAAAGAACCATTAAAAGATATCATTATTTCTCAAATGCAGATACTTTCATTTTTATTTATAATCCTAGAGGTTTAGCTGAGATTCAGTCGTGGACTTGGTAGAGAAACATGGTTTGTATAAAATTGCTGAATTAAAACTCCAAGAAATCCTAGCCAGATTTAATGGAATTTATTGTCAGCAACATCTGGAGGGTCACAGGTTTCTCATCGCGGCTCAATGAATTCAAAAGGATAGGATTGCTTAGTATTAAGTCCACAAAGTTTGCTCAGCATTTCAAAAAACAATTATTAGTATTAACATTTTCAGCAAGAATATCAAGTTTTGAAGAATAAGAAGCCAACTACAGGACATTTGTAAAAACAAATCTGGCATTGTTTACAGGTTAATGCTTTGTTATCCCTGAATCATCTGAAGGAATCACTATTTAAAAGGTTAGACATTAGCTAAGAATATACTTTCTGAGAAACAGATAATGTGGGTTCATATTGCACCCAACTTAAAAAATATATTTGAAGTGACAATTGGATTTGTTTTAGAAATTCTGTGGGATGTCTTCAGAATTATTTAAGGTAAAGCATAAATAACACTGTGAAATATTTTATGTTGGTTATTTTAAAAAAGTTCATGCAAAAGAACTAAACTATCAACTATAAGTATGTATGCTTTTCAAGAAGTTTTGTTCATCCTGGACAAATGTTTTCATAACTACAGTTATTGACCTCTCAAGGTTGTGTGCAAATAGTTGAAATACTTTCTAAAAATTCAATCATATAGTGGCAACTTTATAGCTTATTCATAGTTCTACATTTGAAATCTACGCAATGTTCATTTGTTAATATATTCATTATTGGCCTGAAAAATGGCCTGGAAACTGCCTGAAAAATGGCCAAAAAACAGGCATATGCGGGCCAGCCAGCTGGTCTTCGGGTTTCTGGTGCTCCAGCGCATGCACATGCACACACGTTCTGGTTTGGGCACTCGGTGCCAAAAAGGTTCACTATCACTGGTCTATATTGTATGCATATAATCTTTACCATACCAACTTCACGGGTGGTTATTTTTTTTAGGATATTTTTCTTGAAAAGCTTATGCATATTGTATTTTCATGGTTAACTTTTCTGTGCTATGAGGTTGTTCATACTCTGTTTCTTAATTTCATAATCAAAGTAGTCAGTTTTCATCTATATCACAAATTAGCTACCCATAATTAATAGAATAGAATAGAATAGAATAGAATAGAATAGAATAGAATAGAATAGAATAGAATAGAATAGAATAGAATAGAATAGAATAGGCTGGAAGGGACCTTTGAGGTCTTCTAGTCCAGCCCCCTGCTCAAGCAGGAGAACCTAAACCATTTCAGACAACTGACTGTCTAGACTCTTCTTAAAAACATACAGTGATGAAACGCCCACAATTTCTGGAGGCAAACTGTTCTACTGGTTAATTGTCCTCACTGTCATGAAGTTTCTCTTTAATTCCAGGTCGCTTCTCTCTTTGATTAGTTTCCAACCATTGTTTCTTGCCCTCTGGTGCTTGGGAGATTAATTTGACCCCCTCTTCTTTGTGGCAGCCTCTCAAATATTGGAATACTGCTATCATGTTAACCCCTAATTCTTTTTTTCTTTAGACTAGCCAAACCCATATCCTGCAGCCGTTCTTCATACGTTTTAGTCTCCAGGCCTTTGATCATCTTAGTTGCTCTTCTCTGAATTTTTTTCCAAAATCTCAACATCTTTTTTATAGTATGGTGACCAAAATTGGTTGCAGTATTCCAGGTGTGGTCTTACTAGGGTTATATAAAGCGGTACGAATACTTCACGTGATATTGACTCTATGCCTCTGTTTAAACAACCCAATTGTATTAGCCTTTTTGGCTGCTGTTGCACACTGCTAGCTCATATTCAAGTGATCATCCACTAGGACTCCAAGGTCTCTCTCACAGTTACTGTTTTGGAGCCAGGTCTCGCCTAATCTGTGCTTATACCTTTGATTTTTCCTGCCTAAGTGTATAGCTTTGTTTTTCTCCACACTGAAATTCATTTTGTTGGATAGGGCCCATTGTTTAAGTCTGTCAAGATCTTTTTGGATCCTGAGTTTGTCTTTTGGTTAATTAAAAATTAGTTTTGTTAATTTCTAGTTATGATACCCATATGACAGTATTCAAGTAGAAAGAAGTAACAAATACCATCTCTGGAAGTGATCTGTACCTGGAGTTGATCTGGTAATGACTTGTGAATAAGTTCAAATGAATCATGTTGAAATTAATTTTAATACACTTCATATTTCAAAATTGCTCATCTTTCTGAGTTTTTGTTAGACCTGAAGTTTGAATTTCCACTGAATTAAACCAATAAATTATATGTTTGTAATTTTTAAATAAGTGGATCAATAAGAATAATGATTAATTTTGGCTAGTACATATTCTATCGCTACATAGAATAATTGCAATAATTTAAAAGGGAGAAATGTTGCATTCAGGTTAATGAGAACCATCCTTGCAAATTTTATAGCTTATTCATAGTTCTACATTTGAAATTTATGCAATGTTCATTTATTAATCTATTCATGAACTATGCCTGTATAATCATGAATGGTAAATATTATCATGATTTTCTAAAAGTCTGAAATGTTTTTGAACTTAAAGGTCTTGGGCAGGCTATTAAAATATATACTAAAATCAGAGTGGCATTTAAAATCCCAAGGAAGAAATAATTTATATATATTTATTTATTTATTTATTTATTTATTTATTTATTTATTTATTTATTATATTTCTATACCGCCTTTCTCCCGTAGGACTCAAGGCGGTGTACAGTCAAGAAAAATATAGACACACAAACATCATAAAATTGCTAATTAAAATTATTACTTAGTTTGGTCAATTAAATAAAACCCAGAATTAGATAACATTTAAAAAATCATTCACATGTTCGTATGTTTAGCCCCGCCTGTTGGAACATCAGGGTCTTGAGGGCACGGCGGAAAGCACGGAGATCAGGGATATTCCGTATCTCCGGGGGCAGTTCATTCCAAAGGGTTGGAGCCCCCACAGAGAAGGCCCTCCCCCTGGGAGTTGCCAGTCGACATAATTTGACTGACGGTACCCTGAGTAGTCCCTCCCTGTGAGAACGAACTGGTCGGTGGGAGGCTATTGGTGGCAAAAGACGGTCTCGTAGGTACCCAGCTCCTAAGCCATGGAGCGCTTTAAAGGTGATAACACCTTGAATCGCACCCGGAAGACCACTGGGAGCCAGTGCAGCTCGCATAGGAGAGGTGTTACATGGGCGTAACAAGCTGCGCCCATAATCATCCGCGCGGCTACGTTCTGAACCAGTTGGAGCCTCCGGGTGCTTTTCAAGGGGAGCCCCATGTAGAGAGCATTACAGTAGTCCATACGGGAAGTAACTAGGGCATGAGTGACCGTGCGCAAGGCGTCCCGATCCAGAAAGGGATGCAACTGGCGGATCAGGCGAACCTGATAAAAGGCACCCCTGGCCACGGCCGTCAAATGATCTTCTAAAGATAACCGTGAATCCAAGAGGACACCCAAGTTGCGGGCCCTCTCTGTGCGGAGCAAGATCTCATCCCCTATTGTCAGTGATGGTACCAGCTGACTATACCGGGACGCCGGAAGCCACAGCCACTCGGTCTTGGAGGGGTTGAGTCTGAGCTTGTTTCTCCCCATCCAGATCCGCACGGCCTCCAGGCAACGGGACATCACAGCAAGGGCATCATTGGGGTGGTCTGGGGTGGAGATGTATAGCTGTGTGTCATCAGCATACTGATGAACACTCACCCCGAAACCACGGATGATCTCGCCTAGCGGTTTTACATAAATGTTGAACAGAAGGGGTGAGAGGACTGACCCTTGCGGCACCCCACAAATAAGGTGCCTCGAGGTCGACCTCTGCCCCCCTGCCAACACAAACTGTGAACGGTCAGAGAGGAAGGAGGAGAACCACCGAAGCACGGTGCCCCCTATTCCTAACCCCTCCAGCCGGTGCAGTAAGATACCATGGTCGATGGTATCAAAAGCCGCTGAGAGATCTAATAGGACCAGGATAGAGGAGCAACCTCTGTCCCGAGCCCTCCAGATCATCCACCAATGCGACCAATGCCGTTTCCGTGCTGTATCGTGACCTGAAGCCCGACTGGAACGGATCCAGATAGACAACTTCATCCAGGTATCGGGGTAGTTGTCGCGCCACCACACACTCAACAACCTTCGCAACAAAGCGAAGATTGGAGACTGGACGATAATTTGATAATATAGCCGGGTCCAGGGAAGGCTTCTTGAGGGGTTTCACAACCGCCTCTTTCAAGGCGGCGGGAAAGACACCCTCACTCAGAGAAGCATTTATAATCCCCTGGAGCCAGCCTCGTGTAACCTCCCGGGAGGCCAGTACCAACCAGGAGGGACACTGGTCCAATAAACATACCGCAGTGTTAAGCTTGCCCAGAATCCTGTCCACGTCCTCAGGAGCCACAGAGTCAAACTCTTCCCAGATAACGCTCTCAAGACCTGCCCCCGTCTCCTCCCCTGGATCTACCCAATCGGAGTCCAGGCCTCCCCGAATCTGAGCGACT